CTGGAGGAAGTGTCTGGAGAGAGGGAGGTCTGGGCATCTTTCCTTGGACTGCTGCCCCCGCGACCCGGTCTCGGATAAGCGGAGGAAAATGGATGGATGGAATGGATCTGTGTCTTTTATTTAACCTAGCTCTAATGATTCTCACAGATGGCCGATTTATTTATATTTATTATGTAATAAAGAGGTCTGGGAGAGACTGGGTGCAAGAGTGAAAGAATGTTCCCCTCCCTGGATTTAACAGCACTTCTCTGACCCAGACCAGTCACATACTGTACATATCTGGCTCGATGTGATACTTGAACACTGTGGAAAAAGCTGGGGGAATATTTTTGGAGGATTGGCATTGGCCCATTGCAGATTAAGAAATGATGACTTCATTGTGGTCACATAATTGAGAGAAAGAGAGTGTGAGCGTGAGAGAGACTCTGCGGACATTCAGAGGCACAATGAGTTTTCCTTGTATCTATTCACAACTAGCAGACCTTGGAAAATTTGACTTACTTATTATCCACTGTAATGAGTTTTTCATTACTCCTTCATCTGTGGTAGGCTGTCCTTAATATGATTCAACAACTTTAAGTGATCCTTTTCCCATTTTTTTCAAAGCAAACTATGTATATCTATAACAGCTGCTATTAGAGCAACAAGAAGATGCTTAGTGCCTGAAGTCACCTGAATCCACACAACAGAACCTGTCACATAGATTCTGCATCTTATGTACTAAGGTGTAAGAATTCCAGTCAGAGTAGATAACACTTTGTAAAATCTCATATGGATGTCTGACCATTTTTCATTTCAAATCACTGAGTCAGAGGGAAAAGGCCTGCATGCCTTATTAACTAGCAAGTAACGTCACAGGATTTTACTCTTTCCAAAAGTGTTTTATGAGTGTTTATCAGTCTGTTCACTGCTTACAGAGTCAGCACCTGTCTTTCCACTGCATACTGTTGGAATGAAACACTCGGTTTCCGACTCTTCAAGACTTGATTTTGAGATTCACTACCTGGCTTTCAGACAGGCATCTCAAGTGTCTCTAGCTGCACAAGGTTCTGTGAGCACGTGTGTGTGTTTAGCTCCACGTCAGCTACTGCTGCAGCAGGCAGGTCTTCTTCTCTGGCCAGTTGTTTGTATATGTGGCTCTAGCAGTCTCTCCTTCCTCATGGAGTTATCCAGCTTGCTTCTGTAGATGGTTCTCTGGCAAAAAGCCCAGTAAGGGAAGAGAGTAGCTCTGACCAAGAGGAGTGATGCCTACATGCCTTATAGAAAATCTTTGGCTGCTTCTTCTTATGAGGACTATACTAACTACTAGCTTAAAGGATTGATCAGTGTTTACGGTGTCACAGCCTGAGGGACACTTTACATAACTGATCTGTTTTCTCTTTGAATAGTTCAGATGGACCAGCATGAAGCTGTCAGTCTGGTGTTACTGAACGTGCTAACATGCACAGTAACCACAAAAACCCCGGAGCTTCTGTTACTCTGAATCTGAAGGTCCTGTGAATTTTACGAACATCACATCTGCAAAGGAGCAGCATAGCTCTTGTAATGTTGTTCCACATCAAATTATTAATAGCTTTCTCTGTGGTAATCAGTGGACAAAAGTGCAACCAATCATGTCAGAGCTTTTCTGAGGCAAGTCAGCTCATCAACCCCTTTAGTTGAAACATATCATCACTGTTGAGCAGAAACCTTGTATGTCCATATTTTGCCATTTTTATTTTTCATACATCAATGCTGCTGATCACCATTTACATCTGTCTGTGAGTTTTACAAACATTTAACCAATGAAAAGAATTAAGAAAGGCTTGTGACTAAATCTCTTAACTCTATTGGAGCATGAATCTGTCTGCAAAATCTCATAGTCTCATTTGATTCAGGAAAAATGTTAACAATATAACGACACACGTAGGTAAGTAACCATATATAAAGATGCAATATCAACTATAGCATTGTGATGTTGAATTATTTTAGATACACGGGTTTTTTTTTCATTTCCTGAAAAGTAAGAGGCTGTGGAGATATGAGGTTTCTGCCTGCCAGTTACAATATTCCTTTAGAGAAATGTTTTACAACAGGTGGTGTTTCCTTGCCTCACAGTGGGAGCAATCAATTGAACAGGATACACCTAATTAAATTACAACTGAACAGATAGGCTGCAGGACATCTCAGCCAATTTGTTTATACAGGTTATCACCTTTGTGTTGTGTGGAACCAAGTGGCCAGACAAGTTTCTCTTGGTTTCCTTAAAGGTTGGCATTTTACATACAGAGTTTTCACCCCAGACTATGATCTCATTTCAGTTTAACCTCTCAAGTGTGAAAACAAAAAGAAGTGGTCTAAACCAGTTTCAGCTGATGAGTGTCAGTTTAGGGCAGTAAACAACTATAACTTATAGCATAAAATACAAGCAAATGTGTTGTTAATCATTTTAATGTCCAATCTGAAAAAAGAATGTTACAGTAGTTGTGAGCCAGTAGTCTAGCAGAACCAGTATAATCAATCACTTATTAGTTTCATCTATCTTACACCTCTTTGACCTTATGCCGGTCTCTTTCTTTTCACTCACTAGGAAGTACATTCCTGCAGTAATTTGCTCAAAGCTGTCATCTTGCTTGTCATTTTCCAAAGACAAATCAGCTTGAACAGGAGCTGATGGCAGTGGAAAGAACACACACACTGCCAGATAAAATCCTCTTGCACAAACAAGGAATAATTTATAGGTTTCAGCTTGAGATTTTTATCACATGCTTTCTTTTGTAAAAGCAGTAAAACTTCACAAGATACTTTTATGACATGCTAAAAAGGATATGCATATATATTAAGACAGCAACTGGGTTTATTTAGGTTTGCCAGCAATTGAAATTTCTACTTAGATAGTGCCTTTACCTAGCCTGCATTAATTATTTGTAAGAAGCCACGTGGCAAGCAGCTCCTTGCAAATCTCCTCATGGAAAGTCAACTTTTCTCCAAGAGGGCCTCTCCCCCTCTTGTGTTTGCTTGCATTGCAGCAGTAAGCAGGGTGTTATGGTCTCTAACCCAGCTGGCAGCTGGATCACAGCAAAGCAGTTCGTTCCTTTTTGTCCAAATATCCATCTTTCATCTACTTCCCTTAAAAACTCATTTATGCCTCTCTCTTACTGAAGATTTCCACATCCAAATGCTTGTTGTCTTTAAAAATGTTCTTTCAGGTTTTGGCCATTCCAATAGACTTCTCAACATTTCATTAAGGTGCTAATCTGTACCTTCATTGTTCAGCTTTATTGGTGCTAATCAGAAATATCAAACTATTCAATTTTAGCAAGCTCACTCATGTCCAGCAGCTAAAGCAGCGGTTTCAAGTATTTTTTTTCCTTATGCAGAAATTACAAACATCTTTGAACAAAGTTGTCAACAACATGTCAGTGAAAGTACAAAGCATAGCACTGCATACTCATGTTACTGCTGCAGGTATTGTTACTATGCTTTGCTTTCCTATGTACTATTTATTTTTTATTATTTTTATTTCTTTATTATTATTATCCAGTTTCATTATTATTATTTCCCATTTACTTTCCTTTTCCTTTGCAGATTCATTATATATGACAAAATAAGAAACAAGGACTCTATGAGAGCATGAACAACATTGCCTCATTCAGCCACAAATTATTTTAGAAATGGGAGCAGACGGGTCGCATAAGAGCAGATCATTCCCTCTGGATCCTTTTTTTAATGCATGTTCAGTTTTTGTTTGTTTTCCTCTGGCTCCTCTAGACAGCCTTGGTTTTGTCTGTGTGTATTGGCTGAGGCCCTTGGTTCAGCATTTGAGGACATGTTGTCATGTGTTGTTGCTAAAGCAAACACTCTTTTTCTGACATTATTTCACACCTTTGGTGGAAATTTGTTTGTTTGTTTGTTTTACCTTCACTATAATTTTAGCCATAGTGAGCTGTTTCTCAGTAAAATGTCACGACTGTCTTTCAATCTGCAGTTGCCATATTTGTGTTCATTTTGAGTCCAGAGCAAAATAGAAATCTACAAACATTTCTACTGTACACCTGGGAGAAGTGGTCAGTGTTAAAAGTAGAGTGGAGCATTGCTTTTTCCACTAAATTAAACTCAAAGTCACAGCTCATAGTTTGATGGGTTTTGACAGGAAATGAACACATATGCTATGTATACAGGTATATATAAATAACATTTAATAGTAGGGTCTGTGCTCTACATCTCCACTTCAAGAATTCACCACAGTTCTATGTGGTAGAGTACTATGAAGAGGGAAAGCAGCAGTTTTAATCAAAGTAGAGAGTGCATTTTGAATGAGCTCTTCATCCTCTTGTTGGTTTTGTTCAGTGAAAAAAGGTCCACACTGCACTGTTCATGTGTTTTCCCTGATTTTAAATCCACTGAAACATCAAACAAAATGGATGGCAAAGGACTCACCTTAGAACCCCCTTTGTCTCATCATAAAGTCATCTTGAACCTGGGGTCTTCTTGAAAGACAACATGCTCCTACCAGGTGTGTGATTTTGTTAAGTTTGAGCTGTAACTCTTCTGCCTTTGTCCCCATTGAGACCATTTTTCACCATGTACTCACACAGATGTGTGATGATTGGCAGGATAAAAGAGTATTGTCTTTCTTGTTTGCATGGGTGTTCCAGTAAATGCTCACATGATTTCGGGGAAGAGTTGTTTTTTGTTGAATGTTCATCAGACTGAATATGAATGAAGAGATGGGACAGAAAGAAAGAAAAGTTTCATGCTTTGCATAGTTGTCAGTAAATCACACAGTCAGTGATCAAAAGAAAATTCACTTACAGCATAATCTTCTGTTGGTTTCTTCTCCAGGCTTTTGTAGACTGGTTCCATGTGGACTGGAGAGTCTGAGGTGGCGTGAGTAATGCTGACTGGACAGGAGTCTGCATGGTGCAGCAGTACCAGATGTGTGTGTGTTTGTGCATGTCTACATCACTGCTTGTTCCACTCAACTCATACTTTGCATGACATCTGTCTCAGTCAGCTACTTGTGGGTATTTTATGAGACTTTAAAACCAGGCAACACAACTGTTTTCCTCCTCTATAACTGAGCAGAAAGTGCTGAGCTTGTCTTGACTGGTCACAAACAGCTGGCTCATAGATTTAATGAAAACTAATAAATAAATAAAACTGGCCAGGTTGCCAACATTGTGGTAGTTGGGGGATGTGTACCTTAAATAAACTTCTGGCAGCTACTCTTAGACAGCATAAAGTTCCTGTGTGTTCCCAGGGAAACTAACACAGCAGCACCACATCCATTGGTTTATTACTGATAATGAAAATGTCACAGGTTCTATAAACCAATGCCTCCCCATGACAATTTTTTTTTTTTGCTTGTAACCCCTTAATAAAAACTAATGTCAGTGAGTGGTGTTATTTTCTCAGACGTTTGATTTTGAGTATGTTAGAGGCCCAAAGACCTAAAACTGTGCAGTATTTCACACACAAAAGTAAAACTCAGGAGAAAGAAAGTCTGAAAAATAAGCCTAATTCTGTGTAGCAAACATTTTATCCTATTAAAAGGCCTCTTGTGTCTCTACAATAATGCATAACTGACTTAAACATTTCCTCAGTGACTGACTGATTTGCTTCTGCATACACTAACATATTTATCAGGCTTTTTGTTCTCAGATGCACCAGCAAAAAAGCAAAATGCTATAGCTATTGACACATGTGTCTGCGTTTATTTAAACCCAAGTTTATGTTTTCACCAACAGTTTGTACTTTGGTGTTAGTGGTTATAATTTTTTAGGTCACGATCCTAAATATGAAAGAGGAAGTTGCTCAAGCACAAATATGAAAAATGTTGAAGGTGAGTTCAAATTATTTTACTGTAGTCGTAATAAATATTTACTCTGTCTTTATTAAAGATGTGTTGGTATTTATAATCATATTAAATAGCTGTTGTCATCTTGTCATATCGTGAGAAAAGGGGAACACTGTTGCACAAGCAAAAATAGCCACAGCTCTACACAGGAAGCTCAACAGTTTGGTCCGATACTTGTGAAGAAACTTGAATTCAGGAACTCAGAATTCTCTAAACTCCTGCCCGTTGTTGTTGCTATAGATTTTAACCATGGACTATGTTTTTAAAAAAAAAACACGAAAGGTTTCTGAATGTTTAAAATGACTGAGATGCCTTGGTGCACAATGGCCAGTCAAGCAGACAGAGTGAAGAATACTGGACCATGGCCAGTGATTCACAGTGAGAGATCTTGTGGAACCAATAAAGTGGCTGTGCACAAGTATTATTTTTGGTAGTGCAGAGTGGTCAGAAATATGCATAATAAACACAACTGTTTCCCAAGCTGTTTGATTCTTTTAGTGAATCATGTAGAAATGTGCCAGTGAAGTTTTATATTTCCCAGTGATTGTTCTTTCATCTAAATCCAGACACTTTGTTTAATATAAAGCTGCTGTAATCAGTGTTTTTATATTAACAGTGAAACTATGAAAAATGATCACCTGACTCTACAGTTCCCAGAGGCTTGCAGCTATAATGCTGGGTCTCCAACTACAACAGGCTGTTTGTAATGAAAAAGCTCAGACAAACCCACTGCACAAGATCTGCCCAGCAGCAAACAGCAGGCAGACAAAGTTAGTGACTGGCAGGCTAACACAGTGGAGCATTTAGCTACTGAAGAGCCAGATGTTTCTGTCAAGAGTTGGTTGAGACCAAAGCAGAGCAGAAAGGAGAGTTAATATTGAACAGTTATTACAGCAGGTGGATGCAAAGTGAGTCCACATTATTGCCAATGTTGCTCTTTTTCTACTGTATTAGCAAGCAGTTTGCTAAAATGTTCACCACATCATCATAATAAGGTGTAAAAATGTCAAAATTGCCAAAGAATCACATAAGATAATATCACAATATGACCATTCAACCAGTGAAAATTTATTAGCAACACAGCAAGATAGTTTGAAAGCCACTAATATATATTAATATTACCCAGTAATACCCACAGCATTCAAGTCTTCTTTAAACCATTATAATGCCGGGCTGTTTGTTTTCCTGGCTCTTGTGCAGAATACACACATCACAGTTTAATTGCACTATCGTCCAGTTCGGCTCCCTCTTATCAGCTGAGTGAAAGTGTAACTGATCATGCAGTTTGTGTTAATGTTAAAGTATTGCAAAGTGCTCATATTAGAAACTAAAACACACTTTGATCATTGAGATGCTTTTCGGTACAGCCCTCTGCCGACATCAGAAATGTGGTGAATTTGAGAGGATGCCCTCTATAACCTTCCATCCGAAGGTAATCCAGTCTGTTTAATGCACTGTTCTCTAGATGTCGTCTTCATAGTCAATGTTTGCAAGGTTATTTTCGGGGATACCATAAAGAGATCTACTTTTTTTCTTCCTGCTCTCCACTCTCATCTGTGCAGGGTCTTGATTCCTAGAAAGGGACAGGTAGGCAGCGATGCTGTTTCTGACGCCGTAGCTCACCATGTTGTCACCGCAGCTGTCTGTGTTGACCAGCTGCGTCCTGTTATGGGAGGAGATGAAGAGTTAAATGAGAACAGAGCACCTTTGCCTTACAGTTTTCTTCTTCACCTGTGAAATTTCCCTTAAATCCAAAATGAGCTTAAACGACCAAGTGAACAACTTGAGCTGAAATGATCCTTTGAGAGAAAATTAATCAGCAACTATTCTCATAATTACCTAATTATTTCATCCATCATTTTTCATCTCTGGTTCCAGTGTGAGGATAGGCTGCTCTGCTCATATTTTACATTTAATTGAATATCTGGGATTTTTTTAATGTTGGTCTGCAATTTGCAGAAATTTCAAACACAAAGATTAATTAATTCATTAAGTAATTAGCAGATTAATATGTAATAGATATAACTGCTAGTTGCAGCTGTAATCTAAGTTGTTACAGCTGATCTTTGCTATTTCAACATCCAAGACCAGCATCAGCTGACACCAAATCAGCTACCATCTGCCACAGTCATTGTGTACTGCCACGTTGGCATGAACGAAGCTGATAAATATCAGCACCGAGCCTCCACTGTACCTGTCTACTTTCTTCCAGTCGAAGTTATGTCGCATGACTACGGGTGGAGCTGCAGCGCTTGCATCTAGCTGTGGGGCCACGCCCGACAGACAAGGGGAGGTTAGCACACAACACAGGCCATCTGCACAGTCTGAAAAGGCCAAGACAGAGACGTAAAATGCTGCTCTCATGCTTATAAACAAACACAGAATACAAACTGTTGCATAATTTGCACTTTCGCATACTACTGCTCAAGCGTACACACAAATTGTTTGTGAAGGGGATGTGATCCATGTTTGCATGGAAAAACTGCATTATTGCTATAGTTAACACTAACACTTTTTTCCGCTGTGTACGCACCAGTGGTTGCTATAAAACATACATATTGTATCTCATTTCCTGCTTTTATCTAAAGATGATCTGTGAGAAATGGAAACAAATAGAAAGACAGCCACTGATAAGTAACAGCTCTATATTAAGAACATGATAAATATTTTTATGCACGTAATTGCTCTTTGGGTGATGTTCATTTCCTCTTTGCTTATTTTTAGGCCAATGTTTTTCTGTTCAGTTACGGGTGGTTGTGCATTTACGCACCAGAGTAGTGGTTGACCATGTCCTCGAGGCACTGGAAAGTGAGGCGGGGGGAGATGTAGTACCAGCTGTTGTCCATTCTGAAGATACGATAGTGCTTTACCATCCTGTGCTTCACTGAGAGTGAATACAGACCTGAGGATATGACACACACCGTACACTTAATAATACTGTACGCGCTTTCCATTGCTGTATGACAACAAGCTGCTTGTTTCCTAAAAACAAGCACATAATGCTTTGAGGTTACTGTAATTTTGTCAGAATCAAAGAACATCAGTTATTATTGATCCTCTCATGCTGAAAATGTTGTCAGGGAGAATCCACTTATCGGTAAAAAAAAACAAACCTAAAACTCCCTTTCAGCACCTCTAATGTCCATTAATCAACACTTTGTCTCTTGTTTGTTTACTCTGTACCAAAATGTAAGTGGAAAAATGACTATTTGTGGTTTTATAAGGGGTTATTTTGTAGTTTATGTCTTGGCTAGGAGCAGTAATTCCACCAGCTCCATGAAATATCCAGATATATAACATGTCAATTAGTGATATTAGGATCAAATCAAATCAAATCTATTTATATAGCACTTTAAAAACAACATCCAGTTGACCAAAGTACTTTACATAGCAGAATAAAACAACAATAAATGACTAAAATAGAATAAATAAGACCAGTGCAAAAAATAAAACAGCACAATAACACAGACACACAGATGACACACATTCAATAAATTAAAATTAAAAGGAATGCATCAGGCCCTACTGGGTGTTAAAAGCCAAGGCAAATAAATATGTTTTAAGCAATGATTTAAATTTAATGAGGTCAGGAGCTGATCTAACATTAAAAGGTAGACTATTCCACAATTTAGGGGCTGCAACAGTAAAAGCACGATCACCGCAACATTTATATCTGGCCCTGGGAACCTCTAAAAGAAGGTTCTGGTAGGTGGAGTTTGTTACCTTTGAACAAAGCCAGACTAACTGTTTCCCCTTGTTTCCAGTCATGGTGCTAAGATAACGGTCTGCTGGCTGTAGCTTCATATTTTCTATACATGTATGTAAATGGAATTGATTTTCTTATCTAAGACTAGGTAAGAAAGTGAATAAGTGAACTATTCTCATTGCTTGTTTGTTGTGGTTGGAGTTTTCAAAATATTTTTGATGGCATTTTTCCTTTGCAGACAGAAAATACGAGCTTAGAGAAATTGGTACTGACATACATCAAACATCCCCTGCCAGAAATGGCATGGCTTTACACCGTGTGAACAGATTTGCAAGATCCAAATTTGCAATTTGCTTTCATTGGAAACATCATCCAGTCTCGTCCGTTTTGGACTCTGTTTGCTTGTTTTTCTCTCTTCTTAAATGTTGTTTTTCATGACTTTAGTCTGAGTAGATCTGGTCTGGCCTGTCTTTTACTCCACAGCTTGGTGAATGCTTAACTTTTTGACAAGTATTTAATGCTTCTACATAGACTCTTCATTCTGCATACCTTGCGGGGAGTAATATTCTCACCTCTCTCCGTGCTGCTCTCCCGCACCATGAAGGAGCCCACTCTGTTCCCAGGCAGAAGCAGCAGTTCTTCAGCCTTCTGTCTCCCCACCCCTTCAAACAGCCAACTAAAAATACATTATGAATTAAAATAAACACTTGTGGCATTCTTAATCTGGACAGTAAAAGTCAACACATCTCCCATTACCTCCCTTAAAACAAAGATCTTAGATAATAATGCCGAAAAGATGCACACTGCAATTATAGCAAGTTTACACAGACCAACAAGGCCTTGACTAGAAGAAATTTTATTATGATTTACTTACCCGTGGTACACTTTGGCTGCGTGGCTGTTGGGTATGTAGTTGTCCTTCCCTGTTTGAACAGAGCGGACTCTCCACCAGTAAGCCTCCCTGACCACAGGGAAAACAAAGAGGAATTGACAACTGACCTTTAGTGCGAGCACTTCTCTAAACTTAGATGCATGAGATATCCTTTCTTTCTGTCAGACTTTATTTCCTCATATGTGTTTGTGATCTTCTGTCTACCAAATATGCATCTGACCTGAAGAACGGGATTGTTTTAATTCAGGAATGTACAACAAAACGTACTGTGTGATGAGTCTGAGCTTTTCCCCCACTCTGTAGATGGGCTCGCTGATTTCAGGAGCAGGGTAGTCCTGAACCACCACCACCATGTTGTCCTCTAAACCTGCCAAGAACAGTATTTACTGCATTCACCAACGGCCAAATGCTCATACACAGATATAATGATTTGGACAGAACTGAAGTTATTGCCATTTAATACTGTTTTAGTGGTTGTTGTAGATTTGTTTTCAAGTGTAGCTCATGACATCTCTGATACCAGCAGATTAACAAAGATGTGCATATTGTAACATGCAAATAAATTGTTCCTGGCAACTGAGAAATCAACACGCTTCAGTGCAGGGATAATGCAAAATGTTGTCAGTGGAAACATCACAGAATCTTAAAAAATACTTTTATTACAAACAGCTAATGTTATTAGAATGTTGCAGGGAGTGCTTACTCTTTATAGAGTTGTCAAGGTTTTCAGTGTTGACCTTTTTCCCGGCACTCACACCTCTCATCATATTCCCCATCCTCCGGCCTGAAGTCGGGGCAGAAAGAGATAGCAAGACGATGTACTCCTCAAGTCCTCAAAGCTGCATTTTTATGCCACCACATCTCTCTCTGCTGCTCTATTATAAAGTCTGTAACTTCCTTAACTTCCTATGCGCTGACCATTGAACTATCTCAACTGACACACGCATTGCAGAATGGGGAAGCTGAGGCTAGATGTTATCACCCTCAATTTTCCATTGCAACAACCTTGCTCCGTGAACTGACAGCTAATAGTGATTAATCTAATTTTTTCATTGCAAAATCCTGCACCCGAACTACAAAGCACAAGTTATTTCACATAATGTACATTTGCTTAGTCAAAAATATCTATTTCTGTGCATACATTTCAACAGATCCCGCCTGTGTGACGTCTCTTATTAAGTAACATAGTGCTCAGTTCGTCAGTATGAAGAAATAGCTGTTCCTTCATGCACAGGAACTACAAGTGGTACATAACAGATGTAGTAGATGTGGTAAACTGAAAACACATACCTATAGGATCTGAAGTTCGCCTGCTGTGATGGCATCAAATGTTGTCAGAGAGATGATGGCCCAGAGGGGTCATGGTGGCAGCAGCGGAGTCTGGTACTAGAATGGCACCATGTTCACAAGAGCTTATGAGAACGGCCTGTCACGGAGTGTGGCAACAGCTTTGCATCTGACTGCAAACTCACTTCCTGTAATGAAATGAGGAAGAGAGCCAAAAAAGCGGTGACACGCAAAACCGATCACAAATAAAGAGAGTCAACAGCAAAACTCTAGATGTTGTTTAGAGTAACTGAAAAAAATATTATAGGATAATGTGCATCTCGATAATGTCACAATAGTGACAAAATATTTTTATGACTGCCACTTTTCCCAATAATCTGTTTTTTGCTGTTAGTTTTTGTTGTTATGAAAAATACGGGTGGGATTTTAAACTGAAATGATTAGTCAGTTAATCGACTGACAGCAAATCACCAGCTATTTTGATAATCAGTAATAGGAGGTGTTACCTTGTTACACCTTCTTTATCATAAAGACTTGATGCTTTTCTGTGTCTTATGTGATAGCAAAATATTGTGGCGCTCCACTGGTTTGGATGAGTGGAGCTGGTCTGACCCTATCCTATACTGGGACATGTAACTATCCAGCTGTGCGCTGGCACCTAGACTGACAAGGAGGAGAACACCGTCTCTGTCTTTTCTTGGCTTTATTCAAAGAGTACAAAAACAAGAAAGAAAAGGGTTGCAAAACGCAGCACTGTGTGCTCACTGGAAAAAGTAACAAAACAGAACATTACAGGTCTCTTCCCGAACTTCACCATCGCCCGCCAACAGAACCAACACAGCACACCCACCTGTCATCCCTCTTATACCCTCCCGCACCTGTTCCTCCCCAATCCCACATTGGCCAGAACAGCACGGCATTTCGCAGAAAACAGCGGTAACCAATACAAGCACATTATTCGACATTACGGCTGCACCTACTTAACACAGACTGGTCAGGGCCGCCACAATATTTTAAATATTCTAACAAGATATTTGAAGACGTCATCGTGGGCTGTAGGAAACTGTAAATGCTTGGCTATTTAGTGAAATTCTATGAACTAAACAAAGAAAAAAATTCAACACACTGATAAACATACTTAATGCTAGACCTTTGTATGGTCCTGACCAAATGTTAGGTAGCAAACAGAGACTGCAGGAAGTTACTGGTCCCTGAAGTCACTCATTCCTGGAAAACAGCAAATTTCCACTGGGTCAACCTAACGTAAGAAACTGTTTCCGGGGTTTTTGCTAAGCTAAGCTAACACCTGGCGACTGTAGCTTCATATTTACCCTACAAATGTGAGAGTAATATCCATCTACAAGAAAGTCACTTTCGGCTTTTCCCGTTTTCGCCACACTGACGACTCGCATGTTGACATTTGGCACGTGTTTTACGCCGGATGCCCTTCCTGACGTGAACCGAGGCCGCAGCAGCGAGAGTGCTGCGCCACTAGCCTACCAGGGACGGCTGGAGTAATATCCATCTATACATTCTATTAATTCTATCATCAAATAAGCAGCAGATGAATCGGAAATAAAAGATAACCATCAGTTGCAGCCCTGCAATGAATTACAATAAAATATATGCATAGTGTTACTATATTGCCACTGCAGTACTTATGCTGAGATATTCAGAAATAGCCAATAGAAAGGAAGACAAGATCAAATATTAAAAGAATTCTGCAAAACCTTCAATACACTGACATGGCATGTCGTGGTGTGGTGGTGCATTACACATTACATTTGGAGCCACGGGTCACACAGAAACTACAATTTGAAGAAGACAAGGATTTCAGAAGTTGTCTAATCTATAACAAAGAGTACATATAACATACATATAACAAAGTTTGGTTTCTGCTATGGGGTCTACACAGAGTACAAAAAGTACTATGAAGCAAATATTGAACAGGTGGAAAAACAACAAGGTCCATCCTCTGGACCAAACACCGGAACCTTCATTATCTTCCTGTGATAGATCGAAGGAAGACAAAATAGCCACCAAATCTTATTGGTGGCCATCAGTTGCTAAGCTTAACAATATAAAAAGTGAAAACACAAAACTGAAGGCCACACTGACAAAAGCTGAAGAACAGTTCTGCAGCTGCTTTCTTGAAAATGATCAGCTGATTGCTGCGCAGAATGAGGCAGAGCAGCAGTGGCACAGTTGAAGATATACAATCAGCTCTGTAAGAGCCAAAGTGATACCCAGAAAAAGGCTGATCTGAAGTATAAGCAGGACAAGGCTAAGTACCTTCAGACCATAGAGCACCTCAGGAATACCCTGCAGAGAAAGGAGCAGGAGTGGGAGACGATAGAGAGTTCTATGAAGGCCCAGCTGGAGCAACAAAGATCAGAGACCAGAAAGATGGAATCTGACCTCAGGGAAGCAGAAGGCCTAAAGACTGAGATTATTCAGTTGAAAAAGGATTTAATCTCCCTGCTGACGGACATGGGTGTGTATTCCCATGAGACTGAAGCTAACGATTTAGAAATCAGCAACCTCAAGGCTGCTCTAAGGGAAGCTCAGCAAAAGCTCAGCAATGAACATCTCTGCAGAGCAGAAAAAGTGTCACTTTGAGAAGCTGGAACAACTGAGAGCCACACATGAGGCTGAGCGTAACAATATAAAAAGTGAAAATGAAGAACTGAAGGCCACACTGACAAAGAAGAACAGTTTAACAGCTGCTTTCTTGAGAATGATGAGCTGAGTGCTGCTCAGAGAGAGGCAGAGGAGCAGTGTCAGGAGGAGAAAGACATCTTCATGATACAGTTGAAGTTGTACAAACAGCTCTGTATGAGCCAAACTGATATCCAGAGGAGGGCTCATCTGAAGTATGAGGATGACAAAGCAGAGTACCTTCAGACCACAGCGGACCTCAGGAATATCCTGCGGGGAAAGGAGCAGGAGTGGGAGAGAACAGTGAGTTCTATGAAGGTCCAGCTGGAGCAACAAAGATCAGAGATCAGAAAGATGGAAGCTGAACTCAATCGAGGCCTAAAGATTGAGATCCTTCACTTGCAATAGGATATAAACTCCCAGCTGACATGATATCCCCACATCCTCCCATGTGACTGAGCATAACAATTTAGAAATCTGAAATGTCAGGGCAGGTCTGAGGAAAGCTGAGCAAAAATCAAATCCCAAAACATTTGTACTTCTATGTTCAATAATTCTCCCAACCAACCATTTAGAACTATTGACCCCAACTTGACCTGTCAAAGCCAATTTTGTTTTAAAGGTGTATTCATAGGGGTGGCACAGCAGCGCGGTGATTAGCATTGGCGCCTCACAGCAAGAAGGTTCTGGGTTTGAGCCCCGGCCAACCCTTTTCTGTGTGGAGTTTGCATGTTCTCCCTGTTCCTCCATGGGTTTTCTCCGGGTGCGCCGGCCTCCTCCCACAGTCCAAAGACATGCAGTTTAGGTTGATTGGAGACTCTAAATTAATAGTAATTGTGTGGATGCTGATTCAGCATCCACAGTATATTTTCCTCGGCTTTATTATTATTCTTCTGTACGTTTTTTTGGCCCTTAACTATTTCAGCATACTTTCAGCTAGAAAAACCATTCAGGTATCAAAATGTTCAGCTTTTTCAGGACATGTGTGGATCTATTCAGAATTTTTCTAAACTTCATACTTTTTAAACTATTTAGTGTTTTTCAGCAAAATCTTGCCCTATTGAAATGAATGGGAAAATTCTATTTCTGCACACTTTCAGCTATTTCAACTATTAAAATGTTCAGCTCCTCAAGGACATTCATGCTTCTATTCAGAACTTTTGTAAACTTCATACTTTTGAAATATTTAGCTTTATTTTGAAAAATTTGCCCCATTCAAATGAATGGGAAAATTCTACTTCAGCATACTTTCAGCTATTTCAGCTATCAAAATGTTCAGCTCTTCAAGGACATTCATGCATCTATTGAGAATTCTTCCAAAACATCATACTTTGAAAATATTTAGCTTTATTCTGAAAATTTTGCCACATTCAAATGAATGGGAAAATTCAACTTCAGCATACTTGTACAAAATTTCAAGTAAAATTTTCAGCATTTTCAGGGTGATCCTTCAGCATATCAGCATCCACACGCATTTTCAACAGGAAATGCATTTCTCTAGTTAATAATAATTTCCAGAAACAGGAAGGGGTCTAATTGACATTTTATATCTATTTAATAAACTTACTGTTTATTACCAGGAAATATGTCATGTACTGACGACCTGTACTGTTTACCTTCTCAGTTTTCACATGCATAATTGCACATTGACTGTTGACTACTGCACATGCAGCTCCCATGTGGCATACATTCTCTTATTATATTCTTATATATTTTTATTATATCTCTGCATTTGCTGCTTAAAGTGCCTTAGATTTAGTGTTACTTATTCATCTACTTTATATTTAATTTGTGTTTTGTGGCATTCATGTGGACGGCAAAGTAAGAATTTCATTGTACAAGGAAACACGTTTACTAACTGTGCATATGACAAATAAACACTTTGACCTTTGACCTACTGGTCTGCAATTATTACATTCTTTTTGATCTTGATAATGAATTAATGTATGGGGGTGAAAACCATGATGCACAGAGTCACTAAACATGTCTAAAAGTAAGGGTGATAAAAGATTAGAAAGCTGTTTCTAAAAATCAGTGGAGAAGCCATTTGGGCCACCTTTCAGTTTTGTTATAGCGCGTATCTAGAAGCATCCTCCATACGAAGGGGAGAATCAGGTCACTGACAATCAACAGTAGGAAATAACAATGCATCCAAAAAACTGACATAACCATAGCCCTGGCCCCGGATTATAATTACGGATGCATTCATGTGCACATCACTTTAACATTGCAGATGCTAAAGTAACTACCTCGTGTGATTATAAAGTACTTTATAGTACTTCCCAGTACTGCTGGGAAGATTTGGAATTTCCATCTGAGGATTAATAAAGTCCTGTGATTATACTGTACTTGCAGTATTAATCCTAATCTGCAAAATAACTAGTAATTAATGTTATTAAATAAATGTAGTGGAATAAGAAGTACAATATTTGATTTTACTATGTTTCAGAGGCAAAGTATGAAGCAGCTGAAAATGGAAATACTCGAGTGAAGTAAAAATACTGCATATCACTTTAACATCGCAGATGGTAGAGGTAAACATGTGTTAATGCCCTTTTATGGCGCTTGTGTGTGTGTGATGAGAACAGTCAGTTGGAAGAGATAAATATTCCTTAGAGGGAATACAAGGAATCTTATGTCACGTTATGTTTGAACTAAACTGCAGCTAAACTGTATTTCAGGCAGAAGCAAAGTCTTTTTCTGTTATTCATAAAAAACTACTGTTGCTCGGTGGGTGGTGGCTGGTGTCAGATACCAGGTTGTGGCTGCAAGCAAGGAAGGAAGTCTTCATTAGCTTCAGATGAAAATAAACACAAGGTCATGTAGCTTCTGTGGTGTAAAGAGCGCACAGTTTTCTCTTCAGCACTAAATTTGCAACATTTCCTGTGGCCAGTTTGTTAGTTTTTTTAAGAAGGTTTCGATATAGATTTTAGTTGTAGTTATTGGTGAGATAGTTACTGGTAGGTACCTCTGCCTTCTTTGCTTCTGAGCTTTGACATATAAGGTTTTTATCCCTGTTGCACTGGTTAATACATAGACCTTAATATAATTTTAATTAATTTGCTAAATAATAACTCTCATTGGTAGATGTAACAATCTTCATGATATCAAAATAAATAAATCAAATAATAAATCAAAAAGAAAAACCACACTGGTGAATAAGGTATAAATATACAGTAACAATGTATGCAATAGAAACCACAGACAAACTAGAAAAAGAGATAAAGGATACTATTAGATACTAAAGGTTTTGAAACTGTGTTTGAGCATAAAAGACTGTCTCTTCACTCTGGAACACTTTCCTGCTTGGCTA